TCTCCGAACGCGCTGTTTGTTCAAACTGTACCTGTCTTGTTCAGAGACAACAAACGCGTCACCATGCCATGTCTCTACTGCTGTGTTTTGACTGGGTGTTCAGATATAGTCAACAGCGCCTCGACATTAGTCACTGAGTTTAATTCTGTTTTGCAGAGACATTCGTTGACATTTCTCATGTTATTTTAATAGCAGATTATCACATGGCAAAGGTGGGTAGAGTAGTCCAACCTATACTCTACTAAAGACACTTTATGAGAAGGCTACCCTCATAGGGACTTCATAACACGCATAAGCACTGTGACTATATGGCAGTACTTGAGTATTTGCGAATAGCTGATGCCAGTAATTCAAGATGATATAAGCTGTTCTGTTACTTAAATGATGCTGTGTTGACAGAAGGGTACTTACACCAAAGTTACGACCATTTGTTTAATCTATGACACTGTTATGAAGCATTATTCCCAAGTAATAGAACTTTTAATTCAGAGGCCTTGTTAGGAACACTTTTTATCAGTTCTATACATTTCTATTTGAATAAAAGCACAAATGTACAGTTTCTATTAAGTAGTGGCTGCAGTAATGATAAGCTTATGTCTTCATTCACACAGGTCTTCTTAATAGAAACAGTTAATATAATAATTTAACACTAATAACTCACAGTACTTTTTCTTTTGATGCTTAAGTACACAGGGAACTTTTTAATCAATAGTAATACAGGATTTTGTACATATGTACATGCATGGAAATAATCACTGAAGTTCAAGGGTCTTTCCGTAGAACTGATATATAGTGTTCTTAATATCTTTATGTACAGAATGTGGGGGCTGGACCTCCCATAAGGGTAAAGGAACCCCCTATAAGTGAGACAAATTGAACTTGGTGGGTCGAGGTCCGGGTGTGCTTCTGAATCTGCCGAGTTTTAGACTGTTCTTTATGCAATGTTTAATGTAACATGAGCCTACGTGTGTTTTTATGCAGCAGCCAACATATGGCCAGAATGTTACACTTTTGTACGGTAAAGTGAACTGTGATTTGGTTTTACTTCTTATGAGACCCACCTGCCTGCTCATGACTAAATCATTTTTAACTACCTATTATATATACTTAACTGACAAAAAGGTAGGCTAATAGACCTGCTTGCCTTGTCTTCTTGTCTGCTTCTAAAGACCACCACATTTCCTGGATAGTGTAGCATAATAGATACAGTTCAAAGAGCAGCTATACTACAATATGTCGCAGTGAGATGACCAATAAACATCAAGTTTCTTTTTTTTGTACTCTGTGCATATAAATTATAGGAATAAAACTTAATTTACCCCCATTTTGTATTTGCTAACAAACCTCCCAAACTGGCTGTTTTTCATGTTAAAAGATATAAGGTGAAAAAGACAAAGCTGTAATGTTGAGGGAAGAGACGATTAGCTTTTATTTTTTTTATCTAAAAGACTCTCTCGGTGTAAATTTCAGTCCACATGTGATCCACTGTAGCCTTTTTGTGGTCTAATTCTGGGTTTTATTTAACGTAGTGATGGCAAAATAATGAACGGCATGCCATGCATCAGTGCTGAATGCCGGCACCGATAAATGCAACTTCAATTACAACAATAGTTTTGAAGCTTTTGGAAAGTGTACTGGTATCTGGTGTACGATGGCCTTAAGTGTAGAAATTATTTAACCCTCCTGTTATCTTTAAACTTACTAAAAGCATTACCCCTGCAAGGGTAAACCTCACAAACATATATTGTAAAAATTAGGGGTGCGGGAAAAAATCGATTCTTCGATGCATCGTGATGCAGGCGTGAACGATTCTGAATCGATTCATAAATGTCAAAAATCGATTTTCTAAATATTTAATTTATAACGTAATGTTCATGGAACGCAAAAGGCAGAACTGGAAGTGGGTAAATGCAGCGCCCGGACAGTCTCTTGCGGCACATACAAAACAAAACAAAACAAAAACAAAACTGGATGAGCGAGAAATCCGACCGGCTAAAAAATATAAATGGGCTAAAAATATAAACGAGAGCGCAGATTTACTTCGCTCTGCTTTAAGCTTCAGCTATAGCCGCTTTCCTTCCATCTCCACCGGAAAACTTTTCTTTAAAACTAGAAGAGTTTCTTGTAAAATGTCTCAGCATCCGGCTGTTTTGCGAGGCTGAAGTCGCTTCTCGTTCTAATTTTCCCGCTGCTCCGCCATTTAAGGTGGAACGGGAAAATTCGTAAGAGAAGCGAGTTCATTTTCGCAACGTTTTAGAGAAAGACAGTCTCTCGTTGCAGATTTAACCAACTGTGCTGCTTATAAATGCAAATAAGTCCTCCAAATGTTCGTCTTAATCTCTGTTTTTTGTTCGCTACTGGTGAGGCCAGACTTTGGGGCTATGTGACCTGCTGTCTGCTGTCTGTTCTCAGTTGTTGAGAACCAGGGCTTTCGCGCTATGCTGCGCACTTTGGAACCGAGATTCAGCATCCAGTCTCAAAAATACACCCCCCCCAACACACACACACTCTCTACAACGAGACCAAAACCGAAGTTATAAAATGACTAAAGAAAACGGGAAGGATGGCTATAACCTGCTGCATGGACACCCATTGCCACTGGATCTTATTTCAGGGCAGCAGCGCATTTGATCGCAGATGAGTGGCAGCAGCGTCTCTGAATGAGAGCCTCCTAGTTCACTTGCCACATCACTTCCATTTGATTTATTAATAAACATATTTTAGATATTTAAAGCAAAGTATTTGTAATGATCCATAATGCATTTACATTATGGATCATTACAAATACTTTGCTTTAAAACTACCAAGTCCTCAGACAGTAGGAAGATGGAAATCCTGTATAGAGAAAAAAGATGCATCGAGATGCATCGATAATCGTTTTATAATCGCATCGCAGCCCTCTGGATCGGAATCGAATCGAATCATGAGGTGCCTAAAGATTCCCACCCCTAGTAAAAATACTATGCATCAATACACAGGTCAAAGTTTCCACCAGGGGACCCCCAAAGACCTTTGCCATCATTCGAACCCTGTCTAGAATCTTTTCTTCACATTCACTCTGGGTCGTTTGTTCCTTTTTCTGGACATTCTTAGGACAACTGCACCACAATAGATGTCTGGATTCGTTTGTGTTTGCTTGTCTGGTCAGTGTGCTCTGGCCTTTACAGAATTGTGGAGCAGTGGCGCTTCTTAGTGCATCCAGCATCTACACTCTTAAAAGTAAAGGATACCAAAAGGTTGCTTGGAGCGAACCACTTTTCCATGAAGAGCCATTCAGTATGCAGAACATGCCCATCAGCTTGTATTACAAGTGCATTTTGAGTCAGCAGGTTCTTTCACTTAGCACTGTGTTGAAAATATTTTCTGTGGCAATCGACTGTATGTTACAGACACAGCAAAGATCAGCCTGAATCAACACAACAGAATAAAAGAGAATTAGGAACCCTGGGTCAATAGCCAAAGTGGAACTCTGTAGAAAGTAGGTTAGGTTGCACTGCAAACAATAGTGTCTTTTCAAATGAAATGATCTTAAATCTAGTCAATCTATCTAATATTTCCCATTTTGAGATCTTTGTGCACTTTGTTTTTGGTCATTTTATCAAGAAATATTATCTCACTATACTGGCAGATAAGTTTGCTGGTTTCCTGCACATTTCTCAAAACAAGCAAAATTATCTGCAAATATAATGAGATAATTTTGCTCAATAAAACAACTCAAAACAAGCAAAAATGTCTATAAATGAGGTAAATAATCTTAAATTTAGCTTACAGCAATGACAACAGGAGCAATATTAGATTTGTTGACTACATTTAAGATTATTTTACTTGACAAGATACCATTTTTTGCAGTGTGTATAGTTGATTATATTATCATTTGAAAAAAGTACAAATGCATCACTATGGTTAAAATATGGAAACTAAGCCAAGCTTTGAATGCACTGTTGTGATGGCATAAAAAACACTTACATACAGTATTTCCACCTCTTCAGCAGCAGATTAGCCTCGCCCATTATTGTTAAGGTTATAAGGAGTGTTTCAGCCCAGACTGCTTTTTCAATGGGACACAATACAGGGCAGCCAATCAGAACAGAGTCTGTTTACATACTGTCCTATGCAAGGGTTTGGACAGTCAAATTACATGTTCTGTTGATTTTCAAGGAGAAAGTAAGTTACCACATCCTGCACATTTCAATGCATGGCTACTAATTATTTGCTAAATTTAACACACTGGGGAAATACTCATTAATTTTGAAGCTATAAGGAGTGTTTTAGCTTGACCTGCTTTTTAAATGATTCATGCCAATCAGAACTGAGATCATTTCCATATCAGTCAGCCTGTTAATTCTAAGGGAGAAAGAAAGGTTGTGTAAAAATGAATTCTGTCTGGTTTTGCTGCATAAACCCACTCATAACTGAGCTTCAAGGGAAAATATATGAAAGACAAGACAAATGTAGTATAAAGGCTCTTTAAAGGGAACTTGAGCAGTATAATGTTTTCATATAATGCAATAAATACAGCACCTCAGGTTTTGTTTAATTAAAAAAAGAGCCAGTTGTGCTGGGACTGGAATAACTTTGCTAATGTGCACCCAAGGAGAGCGGAGTTTCACAAATCTGACTGTACAGATGGTCGAGTTTGTGACAGCATATTGCGGCGGGGAACTGCGAAGGACGTCTGACAAAGTCAATTTAAGTTTTAAAAGAGTTAAAAAAGAAAAAAAGCTTAAGTCTCTGAGGTTTACACATGTACGCTTGGTGGAATTTACTGTAGCCCTCTGGTGATTTAGAAATAAATAATATTTTGTGGCGGAAAACAGCACAGCCTGCCGCCAGATTGTGAATTAATTAAGTACTGTATGTGTGAGGATAGTGTGTTTGGTAGAGCATACCGGTGTGAACAGAATGCCCGGCTGACTGTCTCCTCGCTTCTGCTTCCCCGCACGGCCCACTAAACCTGTTTTGATTAAAGCTCTCCCCGTTTGTTTTCTCGTGTCTTGCAGCATGTCCACGTCCACGTGTTGCCGAGGAGAGCCGGCGACTTTGAGAGGAACGACAGCATCTACGACGAGGTAACGACTTGATATATTGTCGAGAAGCTGTGGCAGGTTGCATGCACCGTTCACATCAAGACCTAGTAAATACACATGGGGGACACTGCTGTGATGGCGCGCTCATAAACATTGCCGGCGTACCAGATTGTGCATCCTCAGGCAAACTGTAAATACAGTAGTATAACAAGGCCCAGAGCTGCTGTTGCTTCTCTTTATCACGTCAAGAAGCATCAAGGATTTCATGATTTTGCTATCTTTGGAAACAGATCTCATAATGGCCTAGTGCTTGGAAAAATTACATGATTCAGATATGTGCACATGGGCTACATTAATAGAATTTTGCCTTTTATGTTAAACGCTTTTGGCAATAATTATGTTCTAGTGTGATTTGTTCATGTGGAACTGATCCAGCATATTTAAAGGGGAATTAGGCAGATTTTTCAAAACTTCTGCATAATTAAATGGATAAAATATAAACAAAGCCATTCAGAGTGGTTTGATGTCCAAAGCTCCATTAGGGAGAAACTTATAATTCAGAATTGTTCACAGAGGTGGTGATAGGAACCAGACGTCTGAAGAGTTTAATACCTCTAGAAGATAACTCACATAAAGATATTATGTGAAATGGTTATGGATATGCTGCCTAATGCCTGAGACATCGTTTTAGAGTAGCTTTATGAAGGTTAAACCTAGAATGTATTTGTTTTTAAGTCCCATTAATGATGGAAAAGTACATACAGAGCATTTTAAGGCAAAATAGTCCCCTTAAGGAATCTTTTCAAATGTATTTTTTGGTTATTTTATTTTTATCAACATTACATACAAACACATCGCTGTTGCCGAAACAAAACCTTGTATCTCCATTTTTGTCGTTTTTCAGTTTTTGACATCATTTGGAAGTGCCTGTTTCCCTTTACATTGTATGTGAAGTTCATGATGAATGGACCAAAAGAAATGGCACAAAATGGCTTGGAAAAAAGTCTGGTTCCATTGACTTACATTAAAAGTAAAGTATGTTTTTTCCTTCCCCTGTAAATCATCTTTTGGAGGTATGAGGTTTTGTTCCGACAACAGCGATATGCAAGAGTTTGAATGGTGATTTTTCAAGTGAAAACTTAAAGGGGAACTCCACTGATTTTTTAAAAAAAATTTGCATAATTCTGATGGTGCAATGTAAACAAAGTCATTCCGAGTGGTTGATGTAAAATGGCTCATTTTAGAGAAAGCTATAGACTTCTTTACAGTGGTGGTGATAGGAAGCAGGAGTCACAATGTCTACACCAGAAGTATAGCCATTTTACTCACTATCAATTTTACTTACTCTAATTTTTTGGGGGACTTTTTTTTCCTTACAACACCCTACATGTACCCCTCCACTATGAATGGATTAAAATAAACGTATTAACAAGACGTTTTAGGCCAACATAAAACTATGGAAAAAAGTCTCGGCATCGGGCAGCGTCTTCATAATAACTTTCTGTGAGGGAGCTTTTAGAGGTGGATGTTTGGTTCCTATCACAACCACTGTGAACAATTCCCACTCTAAATTTCTCCAGAATGGAGCATTTCACATCAAACCACTCTGAATGACTGGGATTACATCTTAACCCTTTAAATATGTAGAAATTTTGAAAAATCGACAGTTCCCTTTTAAAAGGAAACTAAAAAGAAATAGCACAATTTCTCTTTATTTGCCGAGTTTATCATATTGTGGGGGGAAAAACACATAAAATATAAAATGTGCTTTTTCACAGACCTCATTTTATGTTTTATTTTCTTTCCAATATGTTAAATTCAGCAAACAAGCAGTAATTGTGCATTAAAATGTAACGAATGTGTTCACCTATTTCAGAAAATCAACAAAACGTCATGTGACAAGGGGCGCCCAAACTTTTGCATAGAACTGTTCTGTGCAAAAACTCAGTAGACATGTGTAGGTTCATTGGTCATTTTAGAAAGTAAACAAAATGGCTATATTTGCATTATAGACACCATGACCCCTTTTTCCTATCACCACTTTAAGAAGTCAGAGTCAATAAGTTTCTTTACAGTGAACCATCAAACCACTCTACGATCAAACTATGCAGAAATGTTGAGAAATCGTTGGCTTTTCACCTTAAAGCACTGTTTCTTCCAGGTTGCCGCACACTGCAACTTTGTTGGTTAAAAAAGAAGGCAAATGTACTACAATGACAAATGCATCATGGATATAGAAATACCTGCAAGGCCTTTCGGTCCCACAAGATATGATTAGCTGCTGAACCACAGTATTCTGACACCAAATAATTCAGTTTGCTATTTCCATATGTATTACTGTGACATTTTAAATGTGTAATCAGCGATGCCATACTGAATGAATACCAACCACTATGGTCTTTTCTAATAACCACTTCTAATAAAAGCAGCCTTGGTTTATTAATACCCCGGAGTGCTTCAGGGAGAAATGGAGCACCTCGGCACTGCTAGCCTTACCGCTGTAATACAAATATGCTTGTTTTTAATTTGCATGTGATCAAAAGGGCTATTGTGAGAACAGTTCTGTCATAAACACACACACACATGCATATATATATATATATATATACTCTTATGTGTGCTAGTTAGAAAATGAGAAGCATTTTTCTCAGAAATGGTCACGCTTCGCTATAAATAATCACTGCTAAACGGCAGAGCGCTAAACGTTTTATAACCTGAGCAAAGGACGTTTACTCCCTCATAAAGACTATTTAAGAAACAATGGATGAGTTCAGCTTCCCGGTGCCTCTGAGGATTACCTTGGGATGCGCTGAATGGCTGCCATACTGCCGTTTGTTTCTCCTTTTTTCCAGATATTGTAAGTGACATGTGTAGGTGTTCTGAATGTTCCGTTTCAAGGCCTGAAGAGTTATGCAGTGAGTGCTTCGTAAGCGTAGCAAGTTATTCAGGATCATTTAGGTCTGTGTTGGTCTGTATGATGAGCCAAAGCAATCACTGAGCTAATAAACAACTATGTACTATGCCTGTTGTGCTAATTTTAGGAGCAAATAGGAGGCATTCTGTCCAAAAAAAAACGTATGCACGTTGTTTGCATACATATCTATGCATGCACTTGGAAGCGTTTCTCTCCCACGTGCATATGCATTTGAGGGAAGATCATGCAAAAGTGGGAGGTGTCTGCAAAAATGGGTGGGGATACTGGAACTGTGGCTGATTATGTATTCCACTTGGTTTGCCAAAGTTAGGGAAACTAGCAGCTGCTAGGTTTGTGTGTCAGTTTGTGGTTGGCGTTATGTCCATATAAGGAACGCTGGGTCTAAGCTGTTAGCTGTTCACCTTTATGGGAAAAATGAACGTGCCGTCTTCCAAAACTGCTGCTATCATGTCCCGTAGTAAACAAAAGAGTTCCAAAGCCAAAGCACTTCTCCTACATACAGTTTCCCCCTGATCTCCTGAATAATAAGGTTGTTAAGGAGTGGGCATATAAATAGTGCTACATCAAACTGCCAACTTCACTACTACACTTAGAAAAGCTTGTTGGTTTGTGTGGGATATTTTGTTAACGTTGCCAGGCATGTAAAGTTAATGCAGTATGCGACAGTGTAAGCTTGCATGCTTCAGTATTCATATTCGACTCCTTGAAAACCTCATAATTCAGAGGATCCAGTGATCCAGTGGGAAAAATAATGCACACAGGACAAAACATATCAGGTTTGGAACATTTACATTTATGGCATTTGGCAGACACTCTTATCCAGAGCAACATTTTACACAGATAGGCAAGGGTAGTGTTAGGAGTCTAGCCCAAGGACTCTTATTGGTATAGTGTAGGGTCCTTACCAAGGCAGGGGACTGAACCCCAGTCTACAGCGTAGAAGGCAGAAGTGTTACATTTACTCTATAGTGTCTTTCCCTATAGAGAAGAAAGGCTTAGACCATATTAGTCCCTAGTGGTTCCTGTAGTTCCATCAGAGCTTTATATTTAAGCAAGGGAACATGTGTAGCTCAATTAGCATGCATTCATATTAGCTATAGCCCTAGTCAATGGAATTTGAACTTCATTGAACTGTTTTTTGTAACTTAAACAGTGTATCTATATCAAACGATTATGCAAATAGATACATTTTTATTCTTCGAAAACGTTCTTGTAAGAAAAGCATGATAATCCAGAAAAAAAATGTTCTGAAATATTTTCTTAACTTTACGACAGCCTCACTTGGCAAGGTAATGTCTAATGAGTTCTACAAAATGTTGTTATGAAAATGAACCAAGAGCTATTTTCCTATTGGCTGTTTCCTCCACCATTACTTTTTATTCTTATTTGCTAAAATTTTTTGGTTCAAATATTTGAAAACCTCCTAATTTTTTTTCCAAGAAATGCATTTAAAAACATTCTTACAGACTTCATAGGGCTGCTTTCCTGAACGAGAATTAAGCCTATTCATGGACTGTGTTTCCCTTTCAGTGGAAAATCTCCACGCAAAATCCTGAGTAGTCCAGGACGAGGCTTAATCCCCTGTCCAGGAAAGGGACCTTGGTGTTCATCTTAAAGTCCTTTTCAGAATTTTTTTCCCAGAAAAGCTTTTGAATTACTGTCTCTCCATTTGTTTGCGTGTTGTGTCCATCTGTCTCTCTCTCTCTCTTCTCTCACTCCACTGGCTATTGTCTCTCGCTCTTGCTTTGTCACACTCTTCTCTTTCCCCCTTTGTTTCTCTGTCTTCCCCCTCTCGTCCTTCTCTTTCCCCGGATCGAAGGCCTTGTCTCCGCTGAAGCTGATCCCGCCACCGTGAGGGTGTTTATCCTGAAAGCGCTAGGCATGGGCCTCGCGAGTCCGATTTTATTTGTCACTTTATTTAGACGACGTGACGCTCGGCGGCAGACTCACGCAGTGTGGTCATAAAGTGCCTGACAGCGTCTCTCTGAAAGATCTCCAGCGCGGCTTTTTGCGTTCCCTCCCGCTCTGATGTAGCAGATGGCAGTTCCAATTTTCTTTGCAGTGTCACCTTGCCAGAAGACAAAAAAATCACAACTATCGTCGCACA